TCCAAGCTAGCCACAGCTACACTGTGAGACTGTAACCAAAAACAAAGAAATGAAGTAAATTTTTTAAAAAATTAAAATCTCAAATTTAATAAATTTCAAGAAAGTTTATGTGTTTAAGAATCAAAAAGGAGATTTTAAGCAAAAATGTATTTTAAAAAACCAAAAGTATGACAAATTAAGAGTTTGGATAGTTAGGTGTTTTCGGAATGCTTAGTATAAAGGTTTTAAATTACAGTATTGTCTTAATAATGGTATTTGATTTTATCCCAATATAAATGTTAACAACAATTATTAATTAAATGTCTTTTTTTGAAAATTATATAGCCCTTATTATCAATTTTTATGAAAGACATTAACAGTTAACCCAACAATCTATAGAAATACACTTACTACTTTTAATAGATAAATTACAGCATGTCAAATACTGTTTTTTTTAAAATAAGACTATAACAGCTAGCTTGTCTTCAATTAGTTTTTAATGACCAGTAATAGCTGAAAAGTTGTACTTCTCAAACAATTCAGATGCAAGGTGAATACCAGAATTTGTAAGCTACAAATGTGTAATGTGAATAGGTTGACCCTATCCATTTAACCTAAAAGCTACAATTCAAAGCTCAAAAAAAAAAAAAAAAAAAAAAAAGGTTCTTTGGACATGATGCTTCAAGTATAAAATACTAAGCACAAAATTACTGAACACATTATATAATATTACCTTACACTAAGTGTAGAATCTCAGTGCTATCAGATGGCAACCAGCCACATCACCTGTATGCATAACCCAATACTCAACTCTCAGAGGCCAGGGAATGCAAGATCAGTCAGTCCCTAGCACCTACAGAAAAGTTCACAACAATCTTTATCTCCAGTACCAGGGGGTCTGACCACCTCTTCTGGTCTCCATGAGCACCAGACACACATGGTATTCATAAAGACAAGCAGGCAAATCATATACATAAAATAAACCCCAATTTTCTTATCTTATATCTGAAATATACCTGATCCCAAGCATTTCAAATAACAGATTCTCCTAACAAACAAGGTCAATATAAATAAGGCATGCCAATAAATATACATTATACAAGTCCATGCATACAGCTCTATAGCTATGCCTCTTTCGGATGCTATAGAGGCAAGCTTTTATTTTATTTGCTTCTAAATTTGGTCGACATTCCAATAATTTATGTTTAAAATATAGACTCATACAGACCCTACCTTGTGTCTCCCTTCTGTTCTCCAGTCCCACCTGTTCAATATAATCACTAATTTTTCTAAGTGACCTATGGAAAACTCCCAAATTTTAAAATATATTTAACATTGCTGAAGTAAGATTCAGCTAGTTTCCACACTAATATACACTTAATTTGGCTATATTTTAATATGAAATAGCTACCTCTTTACAGAAAGTATATCTAATAATATTTCCAGACTACTGATTATGTTATACAGTCATGAAAACGCAAAGTGTCAATTAGAAAACTCAACTATTTAGGATTAAGAGTCACCTATGCTAGGATGTAAAATGTAATAAAAGTTAGCATGCAGGAGCTACCACACCCATGTACTCTGAGTGTTTTAGCTTATTCTTTCATTTACTATCCTAAGAACCCTACTAGTAAGATGGCATAAGTACTCTGCCAGTGATTCACTTTTAGTAAAGTGGCAGTCTTCATTCAGAATCAGACTGACTTTTTAGTGATGAAACCATAAATTGCAGTGGGAGAGTGAGGGGAAAAAAAGGAGAAACAGACATCTTCTATCCTTAAACTGTCTAATCTCAAGAAGTTCTGACTCAATTGATTTTAAGTTATTTTTAAAGGATTTTTAAAGTTCAGTGGTAAATGTACTTGCTTAGAAGATGCAATTCTCTGCATTCCATCCCTAGAAAATATACGTACACCATAAATCATACCCATTCACACATACACAAAATAACAAAGTGAATTCTTTCTTCATTTATGTCTGTTTACCTAAGGAGTTATGTTCTCTTGTCTCAAGAAACTCTCAGGATACCATACACATTTCTATAGTAACACCAAATTGTCCTGTTACCATCTCCTTTCTTTCTGTCTATGAGAACACTGCAAGCATGTTGAGGGTAAGACATTGCCAAGCATGTGTTCCCAAGTGTTTATAAAGTACCTAAAATATTCAAAGAGTGTTTAAAGATCTGTGCTATATGATAGCTTATTTTTTACTATCTTCTAACATTTATCATAAGATAAAGTCTTGATAAAAAAGCAGAGGCCTTGTGGCCGAATCCTAAAGACAAATGGGGCCCTAGATGGGTCAAAATTTCCATCTTCTGATTCTTCAATGCCACATTCCTGCTTACACAACATTCTCAACATTGAAGCAAAAATGTAGGAAGAAAAAGTGATCATTGGTAATTATCATCACAAAGATGCATGGAATTTCAGAATTAAAAACATTAGGTTTGTTGAGTCATATGTCACATGAAACTTGGTCCCTTGGACCTTTTAACTAGAAATATCTTGAACTTTAAAAAACTGGCAATTTCTCCACCTCTGAAGCTCTCACGTAAAATATTTAGCTTTCAAATCAGAAATGGGTTTGCGTACTTATAATTCCAGAATTTAGGAAGGTAAAAAAGGTTATTAGGAATTTGAGTCCAATCTCAACTACAAAGTGAGACCCTGGCTCCCCACTGCAGGAGAAAAGTTTAATTCTTCAAATTAAAATAAGATAGTAAACAGTCCCCTAAACACACAGCAACTCTGAGTGTGAGTGTGTGTGTGTGTGTGTGTGTGTGTGTGTGTGTGTATATTTTAAAATAAGGTCTACCAAAGGGATATTTTTAACAGTCAAATTAACATGATGATGTTAACCAGACTAATTAACCAATGCTAAATGTAAACAATTTATTAAAACAAATTCAGAAAAAGAAAAACAAAACTGCAGATGATAAGACAAGCACAGCACCCTGATTAACAATCAGGTAGGGTCATCGGTCATCTTTTTACAGACTAAAAATCTTGCAACTCAATCAACAGTTAAGTATGTTAGTACTGCAATGTTAATATTACTGTCATTCATAGATCAACAGGTTGGGGGGGCACTTATATGAAGAAAGTTCTGTTTCTATATTCATTAACATCCCTAAGTCAAGACAACTGTGCTCTATTCAAAGACTTTTTAAAGTGTTATAAGGACTCAGAGATTAGGGTATTTTAACACAAACCCCAAAAGGCAGCCCTTTAAATGAGCACCACATACTAACATTGTTTTATGTCTACAACAACAAGCAGAACTGACTCTAAAAACTCCAATTTACACCTCCTCTAAATCACAGCACACTTCTTAGTTTATGGGGCTCTAAAATAACTGATCACCCTTCTCCCCTAGAACACTATTCAAGTTTTCCTTAAAACTTACTTCCTTCTCCTATGTAAAAACTGTTTCTTCCCAAAACCAATCAACTCACTGCCACTATGAAATCCCCAATGTAAACTATTTTCGGTATCATCTTTTACATAGCTTCAGTCTCCCATTGGGTTTTGTCTAGACAAAAAGCCCTCTAGCCCTACAAATACTTCTTCAGTACTATCATCCCCCCACTTGCAGTATCTTGAACCCGAAATCATAAACACAGTCTATAATCCTCCTTAACGGCTCACAAGAACATACACATCACTCTAGAATCTCATATTAACTTAAAAGGGCTAAGAATTGTGTCTTAGAACCAAACATCTGGAGAGTAGGGGCATACACACTGTGGATTAGGACAGCATACTAGCTATCACACTGCACTCCATGGAGATCAAGAGACTTGCCTTACAGCACTGGAAATGTACTGAAATCTTTCTCAGTCTGTAAGTGGCACTCAATCTCAACATAATTTCGTCTCCCTAAGAACCAACTACCCTGACTCACCTACCAATAACACGATTTTCTTTCTTCTGCATTACAATACAGACATGCTTGTACGTATCTAAAGAAATGTGTACGTGTCTCTCCAGTGTCTGAGCAACCTAAGTTTTATTCCTCCACCTTTCCCATCAGCAATCCTCAAGTGAACATCTTGCAGCACTCTGGTATCATCCAGACATTTAATCTCCTAAGACTGGTAGCTTTATTTTACCAAATCAGTGCCATTCACTGATTATCACGTCTGCTTCTCTTGCATGAAAAGTGAATTTATCATTTTTTTCATCAACCTTAAAAAGCAGGTCTCTAAACTAGTCTCAGATCAGAGGAACAGAACTTACAAAGGGATTAGCTCCTAAACATGGAGTGAAAAAATGACACACGGGAGAAACCTCTGTTTCAATAGCCAGAGGACAGCAGATGCAATGTGTATTTAAAAGGTAAACCTTGGGTCCCGGAGAACAAGGTTTTCTAAACTAAGCAGGGGCAGGGTGAAGGACGTCCAACAACTGGAAGGCAGCGAGTGGACAGCATCTGGGCTCAACCCAAAGATCCAAAGGTTGCCAGGGAACAAATGTGGCTGGGGGGTGGGGGGAATGCTGCCGCAGGGTGGGTTTTAAGATGGTGCCTTCTCCCGGACGCCAGGAGGCATGGACCCGAAGGTTTCAATGCTCAGAGCTAGTGTCCGAAGGGTTTCCGGACTCGCGGCTCAAGTTTCATCGGGGAGAAAGGAGGCGGCGGCAACGTGCATCCCGGCATCCTAACCTCAGCCCACAAGTCCGCGCTCTCTGCTTCCTCGGCGCACCAGCTCGGAAGTAACGGTTCCCGGGGCGCGCGAGGCTCTGCGCATCTAGCTCCGCCGCCGGCCCCGGGGGTCCAAGCGCGACGACCCGCGCGGCCTCGGGGGCGGGAAGCCAGCGGCCGGCGCTTGTTCGCTCTCCCTGCCCTTCCCCGGCCTCGCCCGGGGCGCGGCGAAAAGTTTCCAGGCAAAGTCCGCGGCGGCCGCTCGCGCAGCCAACCGCCCGGCACAACCGCCTCGCCTCGCCTCCCGGACGAGGGGCCCGCGCCGGCCCCGCCGCGTCTCCCTCTGCCCCGCGCCCACCCGCTTCACCTACCACAGAGCCGGGAGAAGAGCAGCAGGGGAATGAGCAGGAGCAGCAGCGGCGGCGGCGTCGGGGCCGGCAGCAGCAGCAGCAGCCCGGCCGCGGGAGGAGAAGCCGTGGAAAGTTGTGCTTTGCCGCCTCCGGGACACAACGGGGCCGGGCCCGGGGTCCGCGCCATGCCCGCCCTGCCCCGGCCCACCCGCTCGCCCGCGCCCCGGCGCCTCTGGCTTTGGGTGGCGGCGGCGGCGGCGGCCGCGGCGCGGAAGGGCCAGCGCGCGTGTCTTCAACCCCCGGCTCCTGCGCCGTCGCCGCCCGCCGCCACTCGGCCGAGCGCTCGCGGCTGCCTCGACTCCGTCGCCGTCGCCGACGCCACTGCCGAGGCTGAAGCGGGAGCCGCCCGCCGCCCGCCGCCGCCGCCACTCCCCTCCCCGCGGTCCCCGCCCGCCGCGAACTCCTGGGAACTCGGAACGCACCACCCCGCCCTGCGGGAGGGGGAGACGCCGACCCTCACCGCCGGGACCAGCCCGCCCTCCCCACCGCCCGGCAGCCGGGACGCCCAGCCGCCCGCCGAGTGCCCTGCCGCCCACCCTCCCCACACGCCCCTCCCCTTACAGGAAAAAAAAAAAAAAAAAAAACTTCATCCACTTGGAAAACCAGGCTTCTCCCGAGGCAGAGCTACCAGGACTAGGGAAGGCGGCCCCGCCCCTCGGCCCCGCCTCGTCTCCCCCCTTCGCAGAGCTTAAGATGGTCTCGCCCACTCCGCCCCTCGCGGGGGCCGGGGCCGCCGGGGCACACCGTGGCTCACTCAGGCGCAGGGCTGGGGGACTCCCAGTCCTGGCTCTCTTTCCTCCCGAGTGGTTCGGTTCCCCCAGCGGGACCAGGGACGGCAGGGGGTGGTGCGGGGAAGGCAGGTTTCGGATGCCCGCTCTCCAGGGGCTGAGCGGGAGATGCCTGTTTGGGAAGCTGGATGCCTCCCGCTGGACCAGCCCTCTCCCTCTTCACCCCGACACGGTGACTGAAAGGAGACACTCTCCACTCCTCCTCCTCCCCGGGGCATCCCGGCTTCCCCGTCCCGGGCCTGCGTTAGCCCAGGCATTTAGCCTGTTCCTTCTCTGGGAGGGCGGTTTGGTGGAAGGGTCAGCGGAGCTGGCGGAGGACACTAAGGGGCCCCGGAAGGTTTGCTCTCTAGTTCTTGCTTCTCTCGGGTCGCCGGGTTGGCCACTTTCTGCGCTAAGCGACCGGCAACAGGAGGCCTTGGATGTCTCCCATCCGAAGGCTTCGAGTGTGGTCGTGTTTTTTCGTTGATTGTTTGCATGCTCGCACGTGTAATTTTATTTTGTTGTTTGTTTCTCTTTGAGCTATTTGCAGAAAAGTGATCTCAGGAAGTATTAAACATTTGTCCTTAAGAGGAACGTCTGTGATTCACCATAACCCTCCCTCAACACCCAGTGTTTGTCTCCCTGCCCTCCTCATCTATTCACCACACAGAGCCAGAGTGACTTGACCTTGAAGCCCCAGCCACTGTAGCTCTCTGTAGGCGGAAGGGGATGGATGGATGGTTTGGGCTGTCTGCGGGGGCAGTGAAAGCGGAGGACACCGTCCTAAGACCTGACACCATTAATTTTACCTAGGCCCTGCAGTCTCCACCAGAGAGCTACAGGGTCTCTCTAATAAGAATAAGATAAGCCACCCAGAAATGAGCCTGTGGCAGCTAAACAAAAGCATGCTGTGCTCAGATTTTGAATCACGGGATCTTAACACACTGATTTACGATGTTTTACTCACCTGCAAGTTCTCTCAGCCTCTACCCAGTCAGCCTCTCAGTCTCTATTTCTCTCTTCCTCCTCACCTGTCTCCTAGCACTAGGACAACTTCTATTCATTACCACCACCCCTTCCCCTTCTTTCTCCTTCATCTGCCTGCCCCTATCACTTATCCTCAGGGTTCACTTATGAATAAACCTTGCCCTGCATTGCTAGGGAGATCCCCTGATGATGCTCATAATTGACAAAATGTAGCTATTGTGACATTCCTCGGCTGTGCTGACACCACGGTTTCCCTTGAGAACATTTCTTTCCCTATTTTCACATTCCCTAAATCTAAATTCACTGCTAAATTTAGACAGAGCCCACTGCTGCAACTACTAGCTAATTATCTGTTTAGATAGCACTTTAACAGGTTGTTGCGATTCAGATAAATGTTAAACAACCAAAATTTTAATATCGTTAGCCAATTTCATTCCCCCAGTCTTTCCCTGATGGTTCCAGATTCCAGGAAAAGTAATTTCGCTAACACTGTAAAAGGTGCCAGAGGCTTAATTCAGGGGCTATTGTGAGATTTGCTGCAAAGACCATAAGAAATTAACAGGTTGGGGATATCTCAAAAGGGTGATATGAAACTTCTAAACTATTTTCTTCATATATTTAGACATTGAATGGTGGCTTGCTGTGATCATATCTCTCAGCTAAAATGAAACAGGAACATAGAACAACAGTACTTATAGACATGATATAATGAGTAAAAGAGGATTGTGCTGGTGTTTTATGTGAATACATGCATTATGTTCTAATAATAATTTGTGTCACTGTGTCATCTTCAGCTGGAGATGTCAAAGCTCATGTTCCTATCACACAGAAAGTGGCAATTACTATTATCCTGACTTGACAGCTGGAGGAACCCAGGCACAGAGGTTAAGTGCTCAGCAAACCCTGCCAGACGTAAGAGTTTTTTGTTTTGTTTTTTTTCTTACCAGACTGCCTTCTTGTCTTCCAGTGGGCACAACTGAGTTCTCAGATACCCTTTTCATTAAAAACTATACTTAGGCAATATGACTTTGTGCTTTCTAAATTTCCAGTCGTAACAAGCTTTAGTTTTCCTAAATGTAAAAAGATTTTACATTTCATTGTAAAAACTCCCACCCCCAACAAGACTAGAATGACTGAGTTGTTTAAAATATTTAACATGAGATCATTACTGGCTTTATAAAAATTTTAGTTTAGTTTTTTTTTTAACAGATAAACTCACATTAAGGATATGGTTGAAAAATAATTATAACTAAGTTTTTTGACACCATTGCATATTGAAATGTGTATTTACATGTTAGGGAAAACATCTGACATAAAGGTAACATAATTCTAATGCCAACAATAGTTTCACTGTTTGACATTAAGTATTAGTGGGGTTCATCCCACTTTTAGTTTTAAAGACTGTTTGCCAATAATCAGAGTTCATTAACTCTTAACTAAAAAACAAAGATTGTTGTGTTAACAATGAAGTAATTATGTAAAGTGCTGGGATTTTAAATTGGCTCAAAAGTTTGAGACTAGTAAAATTCCATGACAAAGTAAGTCCTTTGTAGAACAGGTTGGACAGTGTATGCATTAAGTAAATGTCCCTACCATCAGCAAGTTTAACCTCCATAAAGAATCCTAACCTTTCCTTAGTGGAGGAAATGAACAATGTTTTATAGAATATTTAAACGTTGGTACCATCTATGACACTATAGGTGATGTTAGCCTTCTGAAAAGGATTTATGCAAGTGCTTACAAACAAGCAACTTACCCACAAAAGAGTCTACCACTCTGAGAAGTTTCAATCTCATGTTTTGTCAAATGCAGTTCTAACTAAATAGATCATTATTTTGTTTTCCCCCTCTTATTTCCCTTGGGTGTTTCACTTTACCTTTGTGCTCTTCGAGGACCACCTGTTCGAGGACTACCTTCACATCATTCTTTCTACTTAATTCAGTTTATTTTCTCCAGACATGTTTATTATCTTTTCACTTAAAAATGAAAGTTCTTTAAGGACACACAGGTTCCTTTCTATTTTTTCCACTACTAATACAGAAGCAGTTAAAAGGGTACCATACAGATCCCACATTGGAGGGTTCAATGATCACTATACCAACAAGGCATAACATACTCAAGTTCCTGTATAATAGTTAAAAAGTCAATAGAAGTACATTAATTTTTTTCAAGACTTTATCATGTATTGATCATGTTGCATATTTAAGCTAGAAAATGATTGTTCTGACCATTGCTTAAGACTTAATTTAATTGCCATTAATGATGCTTTTACTTGTGTGTGTGTGTGTGTGTGTGTGTGTCTGTGTGTGTGTGTGTGTGTGTGTGTATTGTATTGGCGGTGAGTATATACATGTGTGTACATGCATGTGGATGCAGGGGTCAATACTGGATGTCTTCTTTAATACTTATTTTTTATTGAGACAGGACCTCTCACTAAACTAGAACTCATTTAAAATCTAAGTAGCTTAACTAGGGAGCTCTAGCGATCTTCTGTGTCTGCTCCTCTAGCACTGAGAGAAAGGTTTGGTTCTCGGCTTTTTGTTGTAAGTGGTGGAGATCTAGACTCAAGTCCTCTTGTAAGCTTGTAAACTCAGCAAGCACTTTATTTATTCAGCTCTGGTGCTGTATTTTCAACCAATGTTTCTCCACTGTATATTCACAAAATTCTGTACTCTAGGGCTATAATGCTAAGGCTGGGATTCTGCAGTCTACATGTCTCATTTCCCAGTGGGCTTTCTTAGAGGCTCTACCACTAAGTCACTGGATTCCAGGGCTTGTTCTTTGCATTCGTTTCTGGCCCGTAACAGCATCACCTTGGTAGTTATATAGAATCATTCTTGTCTTTAAAACTTGCTTCCAGACTTTATTTTTTACACTACAATATCAGACTCCTCACAAACTTCCAAAGATAGCAGCCCCAGCCAAGTTGTTCCCGTTCCTCGAAGGACCAGTCCTGAGCTCAGCATTTCTTCTCTGGACTCTTCTGAGTTCTGGGAACAAACTTCCATCTTTGTTCCTAAGCTTCCAAAGGTGATAACAACTTCCTAGCAGATAAATCCCCGACTTGAGGAGATCTCACTTCCTTTTTTTTTTTTTTTTTTTTTTTTTTTTTTTAACATAGAGACTCCTTTAAACCCCCATGCAACATTTTCCTCTATTAATTTCTTTCAGTTAAATAGTTTCTGCCTCCCCTGTTAGACCTCAAGTGGCACTCAGTTTTTCTATTTGATTTCTTCAGGTCTCAACTTATAACAGTTGTTTTGCTCTACATAAAACTGTTTGAACATGGCAGAGCCAACATTAATCCATCAATAAGCTAATGGAGGTAAACAAAAGCCACAAGTCAGAAGAGCAAATCTGTTTCCATTTCTATGGCTGTACCCTACATTTATCAGAGGTGATCTTGAGAATAGTGGAATTATGTTGATACTATGATGTACACATAGGCTAATTCTTTTGTTTTTTATCCAGATATGGCAAAAAACAAATACATACTTCTCATTTTATGTGGTTCAGCG